ACCAGACAAATTATTAAAAAATCTGCTATTGATGCTGACATGTTACCCAATACACTGGCCATTGTATGCATGGCCTGCACTGAATGGGCCAATGCCATAGTAACCATGGCTGTGGTAGCTGCCATGATTGCTGCAGAGATGATAAAAGCAATTAGTCATCCACTGATGATTTCTTGATTGTGTTAACAGTTTCATTAATTTACTGTATACTACATCATCCTCCCAGCTTCTGGTTAGGTACACTGGGAGCCACAGTTCGGCTCTTCTGTGCATGGGAATAATTAATGATAAATTGAGAGTGGATACTGATACAACTAAAACAGTAAGGATTACTTACAGTGATGTTAAAGGTATTGTTAGTAACACTAATCACGTCAGGTGTGGCCAAGAAGGCATATAAGCAAGAGGTACACACCATGACTGAGTCATGCTGGTTAGTAAGAGTAGACACAATGAATTATCCCTAAAATATTTTCTTCCATGTGACATTCGGGCAGGCCTTACGCAGCTCAGCATTCATTGGTCTCCTTCTGGGATTCTTGAGGGACAGCCTCCGCATCTGCAGAATCAGATTGCGTCTTGGGTCCACTCACAATAAGGTTTCATCAAATGTGCTGGAAGCCAGGAGGGTCCTGCAGGAGGCAAAACACAAGCATACCCTTTCCCCATACTAACAACTCAATAGGACCTTGTCATTAGGTATTTTCTTGTGGGGTTTTGTACAATACTTATTGATCTAAATTCAAAAACTTAAGGGTAAATACAGCTTTATCTACTTGGGGTGTCATATTCCCCCTTTTGTTTTAAAAGTATGGTATTTAATACAGAGTACACATTTCTTGCACCTGGGATAGTTAAGGTTTTTGTTTTGTTCTCTTTTTTTCCCTTTTCTTTTTTTTCTTTTTCTCGTTTTTCTTTTTCTCTCTTTTTTCTTTTTTCTCTTTCTTCTTTTGTTTTTTTTTCTCATTCCCCTGTTCCTTTTTTTTCTTTTTCTTTTTTTCTCTTTTTTTTTTTTTCTTTGTTACATTGTTTTGTATCAGTTGTATTTTCAAGGAAGATTTAAACACATATCAAAACAATCTTCATGGACATGTTTCAAGGCAACAAATAATCTGGCATTGTTCTAGGTTCATAAGGATTCCCAAAATCATAAACACTGAAACATGAAGGGTGTAAGCAAAGCAACTTTATCCTATTAATTGCGATAATACACACCGACCCCTGAATTTCTGAAAAGCTACTGAGCAAGATAAGGAGATGGAGCGTGGTACTCGTCGGGAGGGGCAGGCAGGAAATGTACCTTTCAGGGCGTCCCCTGGATCAAAGCAGTGTGCATATTGTCCTCCCCCCACCCCCTGTCCAACCCAGAACCACCTCCTATATCCCAATCACAATAGTGGAATTTTCCAATTGTGACATCGGCTCACGTGTGGCCAGCACATGAACCGAGACCACAATGGCTTATGATATCAAATCCGTGCCAACAACAGCTCTGTTGTTTCTTTTCCAAAAGTCAAGTTCCCAACAGTGAAACTATACAATATTTTCCAATGCCACACTGACGAGCACAACCACGGACCAACTATGGCACGGTGTCAGACACGACTCAGGTCCCTGACACAAGCATAAATTAATCAATCAATCTTAAGTTTCAACTTTTTTTTCTTCACCAATTTTAGTATTATTCTTAACCTTTTTCTTTAAATCTCGACTATGGCATGCGTATGAGGGCATGTAATTGTACACATGTACCTAGGACTAGGTGTTTGTTGGTTTAAAGCACAAAAAACACTGTATAAATAACTTCCCTTTTTAAAGTTACCAAGAACAAAGTTATAGGCATTTAATTTATCAAATACATTCAATGGTTCCTAACAGGGTTTGAGGGAGACATGCTCTCCGCTGCAAAGTAGAGGCAAGCCCCGGTGCCGAGCAGCCGCAGGGAGCATACAGCACGCAGATAATCTTGTAACAAAGAGTTTATTCACGTTTCCCGCAGCTTATAAGGCTGCTGGGAGGAAGGGGCTTGGCCACTCGGCTAGCCAACAGGAGGAGACTGGATATTAACACCCAATAGGAACCCAAGGACCGGAGAGGGACAGGTGAGACAACCAATGGGGTTAGGACAGGGGCGGGGGCTGGCTCAGTGAACAGAATCAAGATGGAGCCGCCCAGGGAAACCACGTGGGGACTGAGTGAGAGAGATTTTACACAGCATAGGGAGTTCCCGTACAATAAATTCGCGATGCCTGAGTTTAAACTGTAAATGTTTTTCTGTGTTGACTTCGGGAAGCTGCATCTGCGGTGACTTTTCTTCTAAAGATGTTCTTTCCAAAGCTTGTAGTCTGAGCTCTCTCACAGGTTCCAATGCTGTGTGTCCATTCTTAAGATGATTCATGCATCCAAGCTCCCCCCGGTTTTTTTCTTCTTTTTTTTTGTTTTTCTTTCTCCTTCCTTTCTTTCTCTCCTTCCTTCTCTTCTTTCGGTTTCGTAGTTGAAGTTTAGTCCCGACACATTGGCATGTTGGAAGGCTCGGAGAGAGAGGGGGGGCTGCCACGGCGGCACACGGCGAGGCGCGGGGGAGAAGCAGCCGGGCGCTGCTTTATCCGGCTGCCGCTGCCACCACCGCTACCGCTGCTCGGGTTCCCCCGCCGCCGGAGTACCCTCGCGGCATCCTGCGCGGCGGCCGCGGGCGGCGGGGTTGGGGGAGGGGGGGGGAAGTGTTGAAGTGTCGGGCGGCGCTGATGCCTCCGGCTGCCCCTGTCGCCGCTCGGGCCCCGCCACCCCGCGCGGCATCCCGCCCGGCAGCCCGGCCCCGGCACGGCAGGCCGCAGCCAAAAGCGCCATGATTAAGGACAGGGGGACAAAACCCCCGCCGAAGGTAAATTAGCATGATTAAAGGTAGAAGTCAGACCCCCTCACCGGAAGTCCTAAAGCCCGCGTCAGCGGGGGACATAAATGGGCTGATCAGCAGAGCAAATAAAAACAGCAGGTAATACATCTTCTCCCTGAAGAAGTAGTCCAATAAGTCTAAAAGAGTGCATTTTCAAGGTGTCCAAATTTATGTATAAAATTGTCTTAATTGTTCCTTTGTCCCTATATCAGGCTCTGTTACTCTCAACGGTTGCATAAAAGTAAATGTTCATTGCTCATCCATATTGCTCATCCATAACCCTATGTCCTGCTACATTCAAGATGTGTTGCAAAATCTTCAAATAAAGTCTGTGTTCTTGGGAAATTCACTGCCCCATTATTACTACAGGACTCTGCAGATTCCTGTACTGCAGGCTCCCGTCTTGTTCTAACAGGATGAATGCCGGCACTGAGCACCCCCATTCAGCAGTGGGCGCTGAAAAAGGGTCCCATAATGCAGGTCACAGGTCGGACTTACCATACATGGTGAATATGGGCACTGAAAGAAATGAGGCTGAACACCACACCGAGTTCGATTTCGGGACTTGTCCGCCAATCTTTCTAGCGTTCCCCTTTTATTAGGGTTCCTTTGTAAACAGCACATGGTGTTTGTCTTTTAGTTAAATGGGAATTCCCAGGATCATCCTAAACCAGTGCCTTGATCCTACACACTCACCTCACATTATGTGGGAGCTGTGCTTAGCCGCGAGAGAAAAATACACGCTATCATGCCGACAGTTCAAAGTGGTTTTTGCTTTGGAAACACAGGACTCACTTTATCAAAAACATCAGTCAAGGCAAAAACACTCCTTTTGGATCCTAATTTACTGAATGCAGGTGCTGCCGGCTTAACTGGTTCCCACAGCCCCCTACCTCAACCGTTCAGTAAGCAAACACCGCGCCAGTGCAGTTTCCATCTCTTTCAGGTAAATCATTTCCATCTCCTCCTGGGGACAATTAAATAAAGGTGAAGTCCACAGGTTACTTACTTACACACCCACATCACCAAACTTCACCCCATAGCTTGGGGATATCGAAGAGATGAAGAGGCCTTTCAGTGGATGCCTCAGATGCCTCAGGAATGAAAGAAAGAATTATTCTCCCTCACCTTCACAGATTATTCTGAGTTGGAAGAGACCCACAAGGATCATCAAGTCCTACTCTTAAGTGAATAGCCCATGCAGGGATCAAACCCACAAGCTTGGTGTTATTAGCACCATGCTCTAACTAACTGAGCTATTGTATTTTTACACTCTTCTCCAATGGGGTCCTTCCTGTGAAGGTGCTCCACAGGGATAAGCTCCTGCTGAGAGTAACCCACACGATCCCCACATGGTCCATAGGATCAAGCCTGTTCTAAATAACCTGCACATGCAAACATTTTTCAGAACTTGGAGCAAATAACCTAGTGTTCAAGGGCAATGAAGGACCGCCCTGCTTTCCCACACCCATCTCCCTTTTTTAAGAGCTGTTAAAGCAAGATATAGTTTGCTGTCTCCCTGTGATGCAGTTTTGGCTTGGGTCTGGCTGGGATGGAGATAACTTTCCCTATAGCAGCCCTCATAGTGCTGTGCTTTGCAGCTGTAGCTAGAAGGGTGTTGACAACAGACGTGTTTCGGCTACTGCGGAGCACTGCTCACACAGCATGGAGGCTGTCTCTCCAACCACTGCCACCCCCACAGTCCAGTAAACTGGGGGTGGGCAAGAGGTTGGGAGGGGACACACTCAGGACAGCTGACCCAAATTGACAAAAGAAAGATTCCATTGTACTATGGAAGCACCACAGCTGCCGGTCAGACCAACTGTTTTCTCCTACCACATCCCTCCTCAGCAGAAAAGGGATATCAAGGGGGTCTTCTCACACAGCCATTGATAAAGAGCTCCAACGGGAGCTAAGACTTTGCTTCCAACAAGGCGCAGGGGACTGCTAAGCGCTTGCAGCATAATGCTTCAAATGACCGGGCAAATCACTATCTGTCTATGGAACGCTGTTAACAGGCTGAAACGTTCCACATACTTGCACTCCTGGGAGACACCATTTGAACTTGCAGAACTATTTCCACTCAGTAAGACACGCAAGACAGAAATGATATCCCCATGCTAAATCTTTATTGTGCAACTGCCGCTCAAAGCTTTTATTACCTTCCGCAGACACACGTCACAAAAAACTTGCATATCAACAGCAGCTAGATTGACAGGCAACAGATAAAATCCATTCAGTGGCCATTTGTACACGTGCGGCAACTCCTGCGGTGCAGAACTCTCAGCCGGGTGGCCAGCCCAACTGAAAGCCACCCAGAACACGTAGATGTATGCGATACGCAGACTGCCCACCCTCGGGCCCTTCGTCCACAACCATCCGGAATCCATCGGTCAGGCCCAGGTGAGCAGCACGCTTCTCGCCAACAACCATTACACGCCCAAGAAGCTGGAGAAGGAAGTATACACGCATAAATAAAATAAAATAAACCAAAATGGAACACACAAACACGGGAGAGGGCAGGAAGGGAAGGAATGAGAGCAGAGAATCACCCAGAGAAAGCAGCTGGCCAATTCCTAGCAATTCAACCATTGCGCTTCGAATTACTGCTCCTCCGCCCGCCTGCAACCCACGTTTGCCAAGCAAAGCTACAACGACCGATTAGGAACGCCATAGGGGGAAAAAAGAGCTAGGCAGTTTTTTTCAAGCTACACAGGAACGGACTACAAAACACACACAGAGGCTGACTTGGTTTCTGAATTAGGGTTTAGGGTTAGGGTTCTATTTTAAGGCAACATAAGCAATCCTGGCGGAAAATAAACTTTAGGCTGCCATTTGCGCGGGTTTACAAAGTCTTTGAACTTGACGTTCATAGCTAAAAGCAAAGCAACCAGCACCTCTCAACCAGCTTTGCCCTTCCTCACCCCTGACCTGCCAAAAACCACAAGCCCTCTTCTCCGTGTTAGAAGAAGTACTACTACTCTTACTCTAAACCATGACAATAGGCACCAGACCACGCTCCAAGACAACACTGCATTTTGCCCCACAAGGACATACCCAGGGATGAGCATTGCTTTAGATCACTGCTTTTAGTCAAAAAGCTCAACTCCATCACAAGCTAGAGGCAAGAAAACCCCAAGTAATATACAGTGCCCGATCAGGAGGGAAAGACGGGATGGGAAGGAGTCTAGTAAATGAGGAACTAACTACAGGTACGGCTTAGCGTACAGAAAGCTCCCACAGTACTTACACATTCCCCAGAATCTTCTGCTTCAGATAACCCCATAACTGGCTCCTTAGGCGTGACTAGGAAAAGCATCGCAGCTTGGGGTGAAAGGTCGTGGAACGCGAGGCACTGGAGGAAGAGTAAACAGTTAAAACGTTACTGGCTTCAGAGAAAGGTAATGGCTTAAGCAAATCCAGCTGCACCACTGAACTCCTACAGAAGCAGACTGCCAGGTACCCCAAACACAAGCCGGAACGTTGGTCTGTCTTGCGCAATATCAATGCTTTCTATACCCAGAATGCAACGTATTTACAGAGCCCCCTCCAGAAGCGCCATTCGGCATGCAAGACCATGGGGACAAGGAGACGGGCCACTACTTGCGATTAGCGACCTCCGGTAGGTTTTCGTTCGGGCTGATTGTTTCCTAAGCACTTTTTCTATTGGATGTGGTCCACACAGAGGCAGGAGACAAATGGCTTAACTGAATCAGCAAAGAGTTTGGTGAAGCAGAAGACCAGCGGCCATTCATCTCCCACGGCACAGGGAGCTCAAGTATGGAACAAACACGTAGTCACAGGGAGTGAGCAAGTGCACAGTAAGAGTCTGTCTTCTATACTGCACGTAAGCCATATTGCTGCAAAAGTAGAAGACGTCCCTAACTCTCAACCTTCAGCATTTTAAGAACGAAATTATATGGGACACTAACTGTGATGGTTCGGACTTGGCTCCCTGCCAAATGCCCAAACCCCCAATAGCAGCCTCCGCCCCTTCCCCCTTCCTTCTTCCCCCAGGGCAAAGGAAAAAAAACTACGCAAATTGAAGAACCCAAAAATCAAGTTAGTTATATAAAAAATAAATATTTTATGTATATTACAGTTAAGATGCTATGTACACAGCAAAAAGGAATCCAAATACCCCCCGAAGAGATAGGGAAAAGGGAAAAAAGAACAAAAGGGGGCAAAAAGGGACACCGAGCAGATATACGCAATCAAACCTGAGAACTCGTAAAATAACTAGTAAAACAAATCTCACCACGTCCCTTAGAAAAGCAGGATTGGCAGACAGAGCCAGCACTCTCCGAACCCTCACACGGCAGGCCAGCGGTCGCTGCAGGCCTCAGCCTTAGATAAGCGAGACCAATGCAAGGACCCACTGTTCCCGAACCTCGCCAGAAGAGAAGAGAGCAAAGGCCTCTCCTCCCTTCTTATTTATACCCCAATTTACATAAAAATCGTATGGAATACTGGGAACACTGCCTCTTCCCTGGTTACAAACTGGTAACCAAGGAAGGCCTAGATTAAAACCACCACACTAACTTAAAGTTGACATCTCATAGGCAAGGGCTGCGTTCTTTTCCCCCCACCCCCCGCTCTAAGCACCTCACTCTAGTTCCCAGCACCAGCATCCGTGAATCTCGCAAGCATGCTGTTATCACAGTCCCACTTCCCCACAGAAACAACATCTGGGAAGCTTTTGCAGCCTGCAGGACGACCAGGTTCTAGATATTGTTTGGGGTTGGGCTTTTTTTTTTTTAAGAAAAACGAGAAAAAGCTGCAATTCTTTGCTTTCGTAGTCCAGTTTGGGGGGTTCAGAACCGAAGCCTAGCACAGCAGAGCTGCGAAACCTCTTCCGTGCCATTACGACGCACATCGAGACCTGCACGTCTCCAATGCAGAGCCAACTCATTACGGTCACTGCTCAGACGTACGCTGTTAACAGACACACACGCACCCCCACCCCGCCACCCCACCCGGAAACCCCGAGGAGATTGACTGCGCGTGCCTAAAAGAAGCTTTCGGAATTATCATCCTCCACGAGGTAGGACCACCCCCATCCCTCGGCAGCAAACTTTGCGCGACTTGCAGCGCCAAAGGGACATCGTGCGGCAAACGTCTGCGGCTGACGCCAAGTGCGTTACCGTCGGAGGCCCTTCTCTACGCGCGCACACGACGCGGTGGGGCTGGGAACCGAGGCGAGCCCGGGCAGCAGCAGCAGCAACCCAATACGCGCCGCGGCAGCCGGGGAGGTGGGGGTGGGGGCGGGGCACGGAACAAGCTTTGGGGATGGTGCAGTAGAGAGCGCCACAACCCAGATAGGTTCCGTCCGTCCCCCGTTTCTCCACCCACGCGCAGCAGCAGCGCCGCCGCCCGCCCTGCCGCGCCCCCGGGCACCGCGCCCCGGGTCCTCGGCTCAGGGTGCCCGCGAGCGCGGGGGGTCAGGGCAGGGGGGAAAGGGAAGAGGAAGCGCGCACAGAGCAAAGCCGCGGCTACCTCCTCGTCCTCGTCGCTGACGGTACCGGGGAAGCGCCTTGCCGATGATCTTTCCGAAGATAGTAGTGGCGCCACCAGGCCGGGCGGCCCGCGCCCCGATAATCTCGTCAGCCACGACAACGCCCGTTGTCGCGCCCGCGCTTCCTCCACTCGGCCAAGCCCTCTGCGGCGCTCCCATTGGGCCACCGGATCGCCGCCGGCCGTTCCCGCGACTCGATTGGCTGACTCGCCTGTCGTTTTCGCTTGTCCCCGTCCCCGTCCCCGCGGCGGGTCCGCCCTCGTAGACCTGGCGTATACCGGGGCTCAGGGAGTTTGCGCGCCCTCGGGGCGCGGAGGGATCTGTCCCGTGTAGTGCTGCGACCCTGACGGCGGGCAACGAGGTCGCAGAAGAGGCTGCAGTAGCTAGAAGTACCATTTCTTGTTATTTGTTACTGCACCAAGTCCACCCCAAAAACGTGCCTCTCGCCTTTTGGTGCTGCTCCCTCCAGTCAAATGACTGCTTTTGCCAGGGCCTGGCCTTAGCTTCTCAGGACATTTCGCACAACCGACAGAATTTGCTCTACGTTGTTCCCTGAAAGCCCCACCTCAGTTGCAGACGTTTCTAAGCGGCGCACCTCCTGGGAGAACATACAATAGGAAATGTGCGTTTGTTCAGCACTGCTGGTTTGAATGCCAAAGAAGTAACCTTTACCTGATTAAAGGCCATTAAATATTAAAACGCACACCCCTGCGTATGCTAATAAGCTCCAGGAAGTACATAGAATCACAAAATATTCTGAGTTAGTTAGAAGGGACCCACAAGGATCATCGATCAACGCCCACTCTTAAACGAATGCCCCATACAGGGCTCAACCCCATAACCTTGGTGTTATTAGCGCCATGCTTTAGCCATCTGAGCTAATCTCAGAGTCAATGCTACCACATATATGACTAGATTACTCAGCTCTTCGCAAGGAGATAGATTGGGCTGTGTATAAGGAGGGTAGAAATTTCACCTCGTTAGGAGGAATTCCCAAAAGACCTCAGCGACAGTCAACGGGCTACTCTCCCTCCTCCCAAGTGGGGACGCCTTCTTGGGAAGTTTCTGGGCACGATTAGTATCATTATACCCGGGCTGACACAACAGCATTGGTGTTATTCGAGCTCTAACGCAGCTAGTGCATTTCTCAATGGCAATTTCGAATCTGTATTTCTGTAGCTTCAATAAACCGCGACTATTCGTGACTCTGCACGCCAGCAGGTTCTTAGAGAACGCGACCCAGACTTATAGTGCCAAATTGATTGTAATCGAAATTAAACCTAACCGCACTCCAACCCCTCTGATCTCTGAGGACCAGCTGGAACGCAAGGGGTTTATTTTCTACCAAGTTTCTTACTCTTAAGGAACAACTTGGCCTCTAATTTTCCCCCACAATCTCTCAACCTGTTCATTGCTGTCTTTTAAAGACATCTCTGTGCAGACAAGCCCTCTAATTTTTGGTTTGTATAGAGGGCAACCCCTGCCTCTCCTTCCTTCTGTCCAGTTTATAGCCATCAATTTCAGAGTTCCAGTCATTTGGGTGGTCCCACCACATTTCTGCTATAGTGATTACATCCTTAACTTTTCGACTGTACAGTGACTTCCAGCTCCTCCTTTCTCTTACGCGTACTGTGTGCATTGATATAGAGGCACTTCAGTTGGGCTGTTGACCGCGTCACTTTTTTGGAGGATCAAACCCTGATTCCTTTGTGACCCTTCTCAGGTATTCCCCTCTTGGTTCCCAATGCATCAACAACCCCTGACTCTTCTCTGTTGCTTAAACTCCATCCCCTTTCCCTGCTCAGTCTCATTTAAAACCCTCTTTTTAAGTTGGCCAACTTGTTGGCAAAGACCCTCTGCTCCACTTGGTTGGGTGAATCGCCTCAGCTCCCAACAGACCCAGCTTCTTAAAGGCAGATCCATAATCGTAAAAACCAAAACCTTGAGTATGGCACTAGCTGCTCAGCCAAGCATTCACCCGTTCAGTTTGTCTTCTCCTTCCCAGACCCCTTCGTCTGACTGGACTCTGATAGAGGAGACCACCACCTGTGCTCCCCATCCTTTTCACGTTGCTCCAACGGAGATATAGTCTCCTGGGAGCGTTCTAAGTAACCTCGTCAAACCCTATACGGAAGAGTAGGAGCAGATGATAATCTGCAGGGTTTACCAGGCCCAGCAACCTCTCATTGACACCACGAATGCGAGCTCCTGGTAGGCAGCAGGCTTCTCTAGAGAAATCATCTTGATGGCAAATGGGTGCTTCGGTGCCTCTCGGGAGGGAATCTCCACTACTAATACCTTTACATACTTTTCTGGTGGCACTGGTTCTAATGTGGGCAGGTGCTTAGGTCAGCTTTGCATGGTTGACTTGTCCTGAGTCCTGTTCGTTACTCACGTGCTCTTCAGTCTCCAACCCCAGAGCATCCTGTCAGTTATGTAGGGGCACTTCAGGAGATGGGGAGCATTCTTCCTTCTACCCTGAGTACAGACAAGCATCCAGTCTCCTTCTTCTCGGGACTTACTTGCCTCAGTCAGCTCGAGGTTGGATTCCGGCTTACCTTCTTGCACAACTTGAAGGCAGGCTATCTCTCAGCCTGGGACAGCGTACAATACAACAAGTCAATCTTCTTCTCTCATTCCCAGATAGCATACTCAGATAGATGCCTGGCAGGACCCGAGGCCACCCCCTTGGATTCTGGAGCTGAAGCTACAGAGAATCTGAAATCAACTACACCGGCAACAGAGAAGGAGATCTTTGCTGCTTATGGAGTACAAGCTACCTCAGAGGTGATTGGCACAGAAGAACAACTTCTCCTGAGCACCTCAACTACCAGTGTTGAGTTGGATGTTCAAGAGTAAGGCGCACTCTATGCATCAAGCCACTGACTCTACATGGAGTAAGTGGATCACCCTGATCACGCAGCGTGCCTGTATTGGAAATCCAAATCGTCCTGGGATCCTAGAAATCATCACAGATTGGCTGGAAGGTGAGAATTTTGGTCTAGCAGATGAAGAAGAAGGAGAACAGGTGGTAACGGACTGAGGAAACCCCAGCATACAATGAACTACCAGAAGAAGAAACATGCTATGCCCTTTTCACTGATGGTTCCTGTCACATTTTAGGGATGAAACGTAAGTGGAAAGCAGCTGTATGGAACCCCACACAAGTTGTAGAAACTACTGAAGGAGGAGATGAATTGAACCAATTTGCAGAGCTCAAAGCTGTCCAGTTGGCATTGGGCATTGCTGAATGAGAGAAGTGACCAAAGCTCTATCTCTACCCTGACTCGTGGATGGTGACCAATGCTCTGTGGGAATGATTAGACAGATGGAAGAAGGTCAATTGGAAACGTAGAGGAAAACCCATCAGGGCTGCTGCTATGTGGCAAGACATTGATACTCAATTAGAGAAACTGATTGTGAGAGTCCACCACGTAGATACCCATGTGCCTATGAAACAGAGAAAGGATTTAAAGAGTTAACTTAGAGGGGCTGAAATCTGTCTCTTGGGACCTTGGTCTGAGGAATGCGATATTTATGTTAAAATATAGCAGAAGCAGGGACCAGACTCTAAGGATTATCTTAGAAATATAGCAGAGTTAGTTTGTTCTGTTCTAGTAAAAGATAGTAGAAAAGACAACATCATAGCCATAAATAAAGATAGGATGGCATACGGTGAGATAGAGGGGTGGTAGGTCAAGGGGAGTTTTGCAAGCCCTAACATGATGTCAACGAAACAAATCAAGTTGAAGAGTTCAACCAAGGAAGAAGAGAGGAGAAGACCCTAAGATGAGGCCGAAGAACAGTGAACGTACTCCCCGCCCATCTCTCAGAAGACGGCTTCACCTAAACCTGATGCCAAAACAGCAGAGAAAACTGCTTAGGGACGAATTTGTGTCATTAAACAGCAAAGGAATTTATTGCATACATTGTTGGAGAGCCCCGATTCTCATTGGACAAAGTAACTCTAAAGTTTGAGTGAGAAGTCAGGTTTTTTATACAATTCCCACGAGGGGTTGCAGCATTTCTATATACATATTAATCAGGTTCTGACATCTAATTATAATATTCATAATGGATGGGGGTTTAGAAATGTTCATAATTCATATTTCATAATTCAGTCATAATTGGTGACTCCACTGGGACCCTTTTCTTGACTGATGCTGGAACCTAGGGACTGGGGGACCCTCGAGGGGCACCCCCAGCTAGACTTTCAGCCAACAAGGCTCCTTCTGCCCCTCGGTTTCAAGGACAAGGACTTCAGCTGAATATAAAAGGTATTTATATTTACTTCCTAGGTTTAATTTGGTTAAGTTTACCCCATAAGATGGAGGCAGGATGCTGTTCCGCAGGGGATAAGAAAAGGGATGCCTTTCTTAAAGAGGCATAACCCTGTCTGGTTTATCCCAGATTTGGTTTACTTTATGATTGTAATTACCCAAATATTTTTTTTCTGACTTGAAGATTTGAGTAAACTGAACCTTTAGGTTTCTTTTGGTTACCTTGGAGATTTGGGAAAGCGAAAAGCTTCCTTTAGGTTTTCTTAAAAGATTTGGGAACCAAAACGTTGTGTCCTTTTGTTTTTCTTCTTGTGTTGTGTAGGAATTCCTGGAATGTAAACAACTGAAGTAGCGCTCTGTGTCTGTATCTGTTTTGGTTTGTGTTGAATGCTGTCTGTTCTTATGGTTAAAATTGGGAATCGTTTATGGGAAGTGAATCTGGTAACTCTGAATAAGTAACTGAGAACTGGCCCTGCAATCTGAAACCCAAAATTAAGATTTGTCGTTTTTGTTACTGTTCATTTTAGGCAAAGGTTTTGTGCAACAACTGTGGTAAATATGTTTTAGGACCCAGGGGAAAGCAAGAAATAAGATTAAATCAAACCCTAAATTTGCATTGTATTGGATGCGGAGCTAATCAAAAGCCTGGAAGAGATTAGATGGCTGAGATATTATTGTGGTTCAACAAATAGACCTATTTGTAAGAATTCGCTCAGACCTATTATAGAACGTGTATTTTGCGGTCTACAAAGACATCTTGTGACTTTGTGAGGTAACGCAAAAATCAACCGCGTAAAGTTGTAAGGTAGGAAAATTCCTTTTGAGTGTGTGTATAGTGTGCAAATGTGTGCGTGAGATGCAGTTTTTCTGCCAGGCGAGTGCTGAGTCCCCCTCTGCGTTTCCGTGTTGCCCGAGAGGGAGCCGACCAGAAAAGGACGAAGTGATCGAATATATATAACACATAAAATGGTGGAAAAACTTGAAAAACACTTTTAGAAGAGAGACTGATGAAAGACCGACTTGGGTAGAAGATGCTGAGTGGAGCATAGCGACATTAGAATTAGAACGAGAAATTCAGCAGTGAGAGGCACTTGAAGAATTAAGGGAAACATTACATAAATTTATAAACTGTTTAGAGCTTAAAGGGATACGATCTCTTAGTAATTGAAAACTTCAACAGGTGGGAACCTGTGTGGGCTCACAACCCCTATATAGGATGGTATATTACTCATGCTAAGATGGTCAAGACAGAAATGATATCCCCATGCTAAATCTTTATTGTGCAACTGCCGCTCAAAGCTTTTATTACCTTCCGCAGACACACGTCACAAAAACTTGCATATCAACAGCAGCTAGGATTGACAGGGCAACAGATAAAATCCATTCAGTGGCCATTTGTACACGCGCGGCAATCTCCTGCGGTGCAGAACTTTCAGCCGGGCGGCCAGCCCAACTGAAAGCCACCCAGAACACGTAGGATGGTGTGATACGCAGACTGCCCACCTCGGGCCCTTCGGCCCACAAACCATCCGGAATCCATCGGTCAGGCCCAGGTGAGCAGCACGCCTCGCCAACAACCATTACACGCCCAAGAAGCTGGAGAAGGAAGTATACACGCATAAATAAAATAAAATAAAACCAAAATGGAACACACAAACACGGGAGAGGGCAGGAAGGGAAGGAATGAGAGCAGAGAAATCACCCAGAGAAAGCAGCTAGCCAATTCCTAGCAATTCAATCCATTGCGCTTCGAATTACTGCTCCTCCGCCCGCCTGCAACCCACGTTTGCCAAGCAGCTACAATGACCGATTAGGAACGCCATAGGGGGAAAAAAGAGCTAGGCAGTTTTTTTCAAGCTAGACAGGAACGGACTACAAAACACACACAGAGGCTGACTTGGTTTCCGAATTAGGGTTAAGCTTAGGTTCTACCTTCAGGCAGCATAAGCAATCCTGGCGGAAAATAAACTTTAGGCTGCCATTTGCGCGGGTTTACAAAGTCTTTGAACTTGACGCTCATGAGCTAAAAGCAAAGCAGCCAGCACCCTCAACCAGCTTTGCCCTTCCTCACCCTGACCTGCCAAAACCACAAGCCCTCTTCTCCGTGTTAGAAGAAGTACTACTACTCTTACTCTAAACCATGACAATAGGCACCAGACACGCCTCCAAGACAACACTGCATTTTGCCCCACAAGGACATACCCAGGGATGAGCATTGCTTTAGATCACTGCTTTTAGTCAAAAAGCTCAACTCCATCACAAGCTAGAGGCAAAAGATTATAGCGCCAGAAAACCCAAAGTCGCCTACTGTGCCCTATCAGGAGGGAAAGACGGGATGGGAAGGAGTCTAGTAAATGAGGAACTAACTACAGGTACGGTTTAGCGTACAGAAAGCTCCCACAGTACTTACACATTCCCCAGAATCTTCTGCTTCAGATAACCCCATAACTGGCTCCTTAGGCACGACTAGGAAAAGCGTCGCAGCTTGGGGTGAAAGGTCGTGGAACGCGAGGCACTGGAGGAAGAGTAAACAGTTAAAACGCAACCGGCTTCAGAGAAAGGTAATGGCTTAAGCAAATCCAGCTGCCCCACTGAACTCCTACAGAAGCAGATTGCCAGGTACCCCAAACACAAGCCGGAACGTTGGTCTGTCTTGCGCAATATCAATGCTTTCTATACCCAGAATGCAACGTATTTACAGAGCCCCCTCCAGAAGCGCCATTCGGCATGCAAGACCATGGGGACAAGGAGACGGGCCACTACTTGCGATTAGCGACCTCCGGTAGGTTTTCGTTCGGGCTGATTGTTTCCTAAGCACTTTTTCTATTGCATGTGGTCCGCGCAGAGGCAGGAGACAAATGGCTTAACTGAATCAGCAAAGAGTTTGGCGAAGTGGAAGACCAGCGGCCATTCATCTCCCACGGTACAGGAAGCTCAAGTATGGAACAAACGCGTAGTCACAGGGAGCGAGCAAGCGCACAGTACGAGTCTGTCTTCTATATTGCGCGTAAACCATATTGCTGCAAAAGCAGAAGACGTCCCTAACTCTCAACCTTCAGCATTTTAAGAACAAAATATACGGGACACTAACTGTGATGGTTCGACTCTACCCTGCCAAATGCCCAAACCCCCAATAGCAGCCTCCGCCCTTCCCCTCCCTTCTTCCCCCAGGGCAAAGGAAAAACTACTCAAATTGAAGAACCCAAAATCAAGTTAGTTATATAAAAATAAATATTTTATGTATATTACAGTTAAGATGCTATGTACACAGCAAAAGGGAATCCAAATACCCCCCAAGAGATAGGAAAAGGGAAAAAGAACAAAAGGGGGCAAAAGGGACACTGAGCAGATATACGCAATCAAACCTGAGAACTGTAAAATAACTAGTAAAACAAATCTCACCACGTCCCTTAGAAAAGCAGGATTGGCAGACAGAGCCAGCACTCTCCGAACCCCTCACACGGCAGGCCAAAGCGGTCGCTGCAGGCCTCAGCCTCAGATAAGCGAGACCAATGCAAGGACCCACTGTTCCCTGAACTCCGCCAGAAGAGAAGAGAGCAAAGGCCTCTCCTCCCTTCTTATTTATACCCCACTTTACATAAAATCGTATGGAATACTGGGAACACTGCGTCTCTCCCTGGTTACAAACTGGCAACCAGGGAAGGCCTAGATTAAAACCACCACACTAACTTAAAGTTAACATCCCATAGGCAACGGCTGCGTTCTTTTCCCCCCACCCCCCGCTCTAAGCACCTCACTCTAGTTCCCAGCACCAGCACCCGTGAATCTCGCAAGCATGCTGTTATCACGGTCCCACTTCCCCACAGAAACAACATCTGGGAAGCTTTTGCAGCCTGCAGGACGACCAGGTTCTAGATATTGTTTGGGGTTGGGCTTTTTTTTTTTAAGAAAAACGAGAAAAAGCTGCAATTCTTTGCTTTCGTAGTCCAGTTTGGGGGGTTCAGAACCGAAGCCTAGCACAGCAGAGCTGCGAAACCTCTTCCGTGCCATTACGACGCACATCGAGACCTGCACGTCTCCAATGCAGAGCCAACTCATTACGGTCACTGCTCAGACGTACGCTGTTAACAGACACACACGCACCCCCACCCCGCCACCCCACCCGGAAACCCCGAGGAGATTGACTGCGCGTGCCTAAAAGAAGCTTTCGGAATTATCATCCTCCACGAGGTAGGACCACCCCCATCCCTCGGCAGCAAACTTTGCGCGACTTGCAGCGCCAAAGGGACATCGTGCGGCAAACGTCTGCGGCTGACGCCAAGTGCGTTACCGTCGGAGGCCCTTCTCTACGCGCGCACACGACGCGGTGGGGCTGGGAACCGAGGCGAGCCCGGGCAGCAGCAGCAGCAACCCAGTACGCGCCGCGGCAGCCGGGGAGGTGGGGGTGGGGGCGGGGCACGGAACAAGCTTTGGGGATGGTGCAGTAGAGAGCGCCACAACCCAGATAGGTTCCGTCCGTCCCCCGTTTCTCCACCCACGCGCAGCAGCAGCGCCGCCGCCCGCCCTGCCGCGCCCCCGGGCACCGCGCCCCGGGTCCTCGGCTCAGGGTGCCCGCGAGCGCGGGGGGTCAGGGCAGGGGGGAAAGGGAAGAGGAAGCGCGCACAGAGCAAAGCCGCGGCTACCTCCTCGTCCTCGTCGCTGACGGTACCGGGGAAGCGCCTTGCCGATGATCTTTCCGAAGATAGTAGTGGCGCCACCAGGCCGGGCGGCCCGCGCCCCGATAATCTCGTCAGCCACGACAACGCCCGTTGTCGCGCCCGCGCTTCCTCCACTCGGCCAAGCCCTCTGCGGCGCTCCCATTGGGCCACCGGATCGCCGCCGGCCGTTCCCGCGACTCGATTGGCTGACTCGCCTGTCGTTTTCGCTTGTCCCCGGCCCCGGCCCCGCCCCCGCCCCCGCGGCGGGTCCGCCCTCGTCGACCTGGCGTATACCGGGGCTCAGGGAGTTTGCGCGCCCTCGGGGCGCGGAGGGATCTGTCCCGTGTAGTGCTGCGACCCTGACGGCGGGCAACGAGGTCGCAGAAGAGGCTGCAGTAGCTAGAAGTACCATTTCTTGTTATTTGTTACTGCACCAAGTCCACCCCAAAAACGTGCCTCTCGCCTTTTGGTGCTGCTCCCTCCAGTCAAATGACTGCTTTTGCCAGGGCCTGGCCTTAGCTTCTCAGGACATTTCGCACAACCGACAGAATTTGCTCTACGTTGTTCCCTGAAAGCCCCACCTCAGTTGCAGACGTTTCTAAGCGGCACACCTCCTGGGAGAAAATACAATAGGAAATGTGCGTTTGTTCAGCACTGCCGGCTTGAATGCCAGAAGAAAGTAACCTTTACCTGATTAAAGGCCATTAAATATTAAAACGCACACCCCTGCGTATGCTAATAAGCTCCAGGAAGTACATAGAATCATAAAATATTCTGAGTTAGTTAGAAGGGACCCACAAGGATCATCGATCAATGCCCACTCTTAAACGAATGCCCCATACAGGGCTCAAACCCATAACCTTGGTGTTATTAGCGCCATGCTTTAGCCATCTGAGCTAATCTCAGAGTCAATGCTACCACATATATGACTAGATTACTCAGCTCTTCGCAAGGAGATAGATTGGGCTGTGTATAAGGAGGGTAGAAATTTCACCTCGTTAGGAGGAATTCCCAAAAGACCTCAGCGACAGTCAACGGGCTACTCTCCCTCCTCCCAAGTGGGGACGCCTTCTTGGGAAGTTTCTGGGTACGATTAGTATCATTATTACCCGGGTTGACACAACAGCATTGGTGTTATTCGAGCTCTAACGCAGCTAGTGCATTTCTCAATGGCAATTTCGAATCTGTATTTCTGTAGCTTCAATAAACCGCACTATTCGTGACTCTTTGCACGCAAAGGTTCTTAGAGAACGCGACCAGACTTATAGTGCCAAATTGATTGTAATCGGAAATTAAACCTAACCGCACCCAACCCCTCTGATCTCTGAGGACCAGCTGGAACGCAAGGGGTTTATTTTCTACCAAGTTTCTTACTCTTAAGGAACAACTTGGCCTCTAATTTTCCCCCACAATCTCTCAACCTGTTCATTGCTGTCTTTTAAAGACATCTCTGTGCAGACAAGCCCTCTAATTTTTGGTTTGTATAGAGGGCAACCCCTGCCTCTCCTTCCTTCTGTCCAGTTTATAGCCATCAATTTCAGAGTTCCAGTCATTTGGGTGGTCCCACCACATTTCTGCTATAGTGATTACATCCTTAACTTTTCGACTGTACAGTGACTTCCAGCTCCTCCTTTCTCTTACGCGTACTGTGTGCATTGATATAGAGGCACTTCAGTTGGGCTGTTGACCGCGTCACTTTTTTGGAGGATCAAACCCTGATTCCTTTGTGACCCTTCTCAGGTATTCCCCTCTTGGTTCCCAATGCATCAACAACCCCTGACTCTTCTCTGTTGCTTAAACTCCATCCCCTTTCCCTGCTCAGTCTCATTTAAAACCCTCTTTTTAAGTTGGCCAACTTGTTGGCAAAGACCCTCTTGCTCCACTTGGTTGGGTGAATCGCCTCAGCTCCCAACAGACCCAGCTTCTTAAAGGCAGATCCATAATCGTAAAAACCAAAACCTTGAGTATGGCACTAGCTGCTCAGCCAAGCATTCACCCGTTCAGTTTGTCTTCTCCTTCCCAGACCCCTTCGTCTGACTGGACTCTGATAGAGGAGACCACCACCTGTGCTCCCCATCCTTTTCACGTTGCTCCAACGGAGATATAGTCTCCTGGGAGCGTTCTAAGTAACCTCGTCAAACCCTATACGGAAGAGTAGGAGCAGATGATAATCTGCAGGGTTTACCAGGCCCAGCAACCTCTCATTGACACCACGAATGCGAGCTCCTGGTAGGCAGCAGGCTTCTCTAGAGAAATCATCTTGATGGCAAATGGGTGCTTCGGTGCCTCTCGGGAGGGAATCTCCAATTACTAATACCTTTACATACTTTTCTGGTGGCACTGGTTCTAATGTGGGCAGGTGCTTAGGTCAGCTTTGCATGGTTGACTTGTCCTGAGTCCTGTTCGTTACTCACGTGCTCTTCAGTCTCCAACCCCAGAGCATCCTGTCAGTTATGTAGGGGCACTTCAGGAGATGGGGGAGCATTCTTCCTTCTACCCTGAGTACAGACAAGCATCCAGTCTCCTTCTTCTCGGGACTTACTTGCCTCAGTCAGCTCGAGGTTGGATTCCGGCTTACCTTCTTGCACAACTTGAAGGCAGGCTATCTCTCAGCCTGGGACAGCGTACAATACAACAAGTCAATCTTCTTCTCTCATTCCCAGATAGCATACTCAGATAGATGCCTGGCAGGACCCGAGGCCACCCCCTTGGATTCTGGAGCTGAAGCTACAGAGAATCTGAAATCAACTACACCGCAACAGAGAAGGAGATCTTTGCTGCTTATGGAGTACAAGCTACCTCAGAGGTGATTGGCACAGAAGAACAACTTCTCCTGGCACCTCAACTACCAGTGTTGAGTTGGATGTTCAAGAGTAAGGCGCACTCTATGCATCAAGCCACTGACTCTACATGGAGTAAGTGGATCACCCTGATCACGCAGCGTGCCTGTATTGGAAATCCAAATCGTCCTGGGATCCTAGAAATCATCACAGATTGGCTGGAAGGTGAGAATTTTGGTCTAGCAGATGAAGAAGAAGGAGAACAGGTGGTACGGACTGAGGAAACCCCAGCATACAATGAACTACCAGAAGAAGAAACATGCTATGCCCTTTTCACTGATGGTTCCTGTCACATTTTAGGGATGAAACGTAAGTGGAAAGCAGCTGTATGGAACCCTACACAAGTTGTAGAAACTACTGAAGGAGGAGATGAATTGAACCAATTTGTAGAGCTCAAAGCTGTCCAGTTGGCATTGGGCATTGCTGAATGAGAGAAGTGACCAAAGCTCTATCTCTACCCTGACTCGTGGATGGTGACCAATGCTCTGTGGGAATGATTAGACAGATGGAAGAAGGTCAATTGGAAACGTAGAGGAAAACCCATCAGGGCTGCTGCTATGTGGCAAGACATTGATACTCAATTAGAGAAACTGATTGTGAGAGTCCACCACGTAGATACCCATGTGCCTATGAAACAGAGAAAGGATTTAAAGAGTTAACTTAGAGGGGCTGAAATCTGTCTCTTGGGACCTTGGTCTGAGGAATGCGATATTTATGTTAAAATATAGCAGAAGCAGGGACCAGACTCTAAGGATTATCTTTAGAAATATAGCAGAGTTAGTTTGTTCTGTTCTAGTAAAAGATAGTAGAAAAGACAACATCATAGCCATAAATAAAGATAGGATGGCATACGGTGAGATAGAGGGGTGGTAGGTCAAGGGGAGTTTTGCAAGCCCTAACATGATGTCAACGAAACAAATCAAGTTGAAGAGTTCAACCAAGGAAGAAGAGAGGAGAAGACCCTAAGATGAGGCCGAAGAACAGGAACGACCCCCGTCCATCTCCTCAGAAGACGGCTTCACCTAAACCTGATGCCAAAACAGCAGAGAAAACTGCTTAGGGACGAATTTGTGTCATTAAACAGCAAAGGAATTTATTGCATACATTGTTGGAGAGCCCCGATTCTCATTGGACAAAGTAACTCTAAAGTTTGAGTGAGAAGTCAGGTTTTTTATACAATTCCCACGAGGGGTTGCAGCATTTCTATATACATATTAATCAGGTTCTGACATCTAATTATAATATTCATAATGGATGGGGGTTTAGAAATGTTCATAATTCATATTTCATAATTCAGTCATAATTGGTGACTCCACTGGGACCCTTTTCTTGACTGATGCTGGAACCTAGGGACTGGGGGACCCTCGAGGGGCACCCCCAGCTAGACTTTCAGCCAACAAGGCTCCTTCTGCCCCTCGGTTTCAAGGACAAGGACTTCAGCTGAATATAAAAGGTATTTATATTTACTTCCTAGGTTTAATTTGGTTAAGTTTACCCCATAAGATGGAGGCAGGATGCTGTTCCGCAGGGGATAAGAAAAAGGGATGCCTTCTTAAAGAGGCATAACCCTGTCTGGTTTATCCCAGATTTGGTTTACTTTATGATTGTAATTACCCAAATATTTTTTTTCTGACTTGAAGATTTGAGTAAACTGAACCTTTAGGTTTCTTTTGGTTACCTTGGAGATTTGGGAAAGCGAAAAGCTTCCTTTAGGTTTTCTTAAAAGATTTGGGAACCAAAACGTTGTGTCCTTTTGTTTTTCTTCTTGTGTTGTGTAGGAATTCCTGGAATGTAAACAACTGAAGTAGCGCTCTGTGTCTGTATCTGTTTTGGTTTGTGTTGAATGCTGTCTGTTCTTATGGTTAAAATTGGGAATCGTTTATGGGAAGTGAATCTGGTAACTCTGAATAAGTAACTGAGAACTGGCCCTGCAATCTGAAACCCAAAATTAAGATTTGTCGTTTTTGTTACTGTTCATTTTAGGCAAAGGTTTTGTGCAACAACTGTGGTAAATATGTTTTAGGACCCAGGGGAAAGCAAGAAATAAGATTAAATCAAACCCTAAATTTGCATTGTATTGGATGCGGAGCTAATCAAAGCCTGGAAGAGATTAGATGGCTGAGATATTATTGTGGTTCAACAAATAGACCTATTTGTAAGAATTCGCTCAGACCTATTATAGAACGTGTATTTTGCGGTCTACAAAGACATCTTGTGACTTTGTGAGGTAACGCAAAAATCAACCGCGTAAAGTTGTAAGGTAGGGAAAATTCCTTTTTGAGTGTGTGTATAGTGTGCAAATGTGTGCGTGAGATGCAGTTTTTCTGCCAGGCGAGTGCTGAGTCCCCCTCTGCGTTTCCGTGTTGCCCGAGAGGGAGCCGACCAGAAAAGGACGAAGTGATCGAATATATATAACACATAAAATGGTGGAAAAACTTGAAAAACACTTTTAGAAGAGA